TAGCAAGACTAGAGCTGGCCCTAGGGATCCCCGCTCCTATCCCTGTATGCCCTTTGGCTATCAGCCCTTCTCTCTCAAGTGTGGATCATTCCATAGGGGGATGCGTAGGTCTGTGTCCACTTCTGGCATGGATGCATCCTTGGGGTCTGTGTCATTTCCCTCTGTGCAGGGAGGATGTAGGCTGGACTGGCAAAGGGGCTAGGCTATTACTCAGACCTCCTCATTTTCCTGCCCCAGCCAAGCCAAAGGCTGTATTGTGGCTGGGACATTGGGTCCTTCCTGACCCCACCAGGGGGGCAGTTTACCCAGCCTGTTTACCCATCCTGTTGCCAAGGCTCCCAGGCTGCTACAATGGGCTGCCTCACGCCAACCTCTGTTCCCACCTCTGACTCCCATCCTCCCCGACTGGCCTTGCCTGGACACTCCCATTGACGGCACTAGTGTGGAGAAACATTTCCTTGAATTCTGAATGTCCTGACCTTCTGCTCTGGCCTCTCTTCCCCTGCCACGGATCCCTTCCTTTAGCTCAGATGGACGAAGTGGTGGGCAGGATTAGGGGACTGTCTACAGACGGTGATAAGGACCAGGAGTAGTTGGAGAGAGGGCTTGTTCCTGCTAGAGCAAAACCACAGCTCGGAGTTTACTGACTCCTAATCCTACTTCTAATCCTACTCCTCATCCTTCACCGGCATTTCATAGCCTGTCAGTCATTTCTGTCTCCGTGAGAACAAGTTCATCAGCTTCTCCTAAAAGGAAGGAGTGGCAGAAGCGGTCGAGGGGCATTGGCGGGATGGGAGATGGGGGTCTGCAGACTGTCCTTTGGGAAGCTTGAAGCTTCCTTGACGTCCCTCCCGCCAAGGCACCAAGCTAGAAAGCCAGTCAGACTTCCTGAGTTCTGAATTGTAGCTCTTCCACCTGAAGTTGTTTGACAACCTAGTGGGCATCTCTGAGCCTGGCTGTCATGTACAGTGGTAGTAGCAACAGCATTATCTTTTGGGATCACCAGCTTATAGATGATCAAAGCAATGAATGAGGAGTGCTGTCCATGGGCCACGTGAGGCCTGTGTCATGGCATCCCCACCTTCCTGAGGCAATGTTCTGTCTTGGAGCCTGTCCTGCACTCTGGATCTGCCCCGTCTCACCTGGCTCCAGGCAGCTCTTCTTTTCACCGGCCCTCCAGTCTTCTTCCACCAAAGGCTTGTACTCAGGGCTGCTGTCCAGAGCTCTCAGTGGGCCTCCCAGAGACCTAGGCTAGAAGAAAGGGCATCATGACCTGTGCCACAGCCAGGCATTGAGGGCTGCTGGTCCCTGTGGCTGGGGCTCACCTCTGGACTCTCTAAACCTGAGAAGCAAAATCTTACACGTTTGCCATTGCCAGAGGTGGCATTGTCCTAGGAGACTTTAGTTGGCACGTCCCCTGTTGCTTATAACAAGGCACTCCAGGGTGCCTTTGTTGGTCAAATCCTGCCCTCCCCCTCCCCCATGTTTGTGCAGGGTGACAAAAAAATTGCCAGGCTTGTTGACTGGGTTGGCCTCAAACCTCCAGTCAAATTCCATTTTTATGGTGTCACTGCAGCTGGCCTTGGGGGCAGAGCTCTACTGGGAGGGAGACTCATTCCCCTCCGGCCCCTTCTGCCATTCCTCTTGGAGCTTAGGGTCAGCTCCAAACTCACAGGAGAGGAGAGTCATTCAGGGCAGGGCAGGCTGTGAGGAGCCTGACTGGAAGTCAGCAGCCTCCTGGGTCATCTCCTCTTTGTGACCCTTCCTTTTCCTGAGCCTCCCAAGCTGGCTTCTCCCCCAAGGGCCCTTCACATTGACGTTGGAAGATGGGGCTGGAGAGGACAGTGTGTATGTGAGGGGCTGTGGGAGACACAGGATTGTCCTAAAGCAGGAAGGGAAGGAGGGAACAGTAACCTTCAGGGACAGGGAGTGGCCTGGATATTCAAACACCAGATTGCTGTCTGTCTGCCTTACACTGTGGGATCCTGCCAGCCAGGATCCTGGTGCTCTGTGTGACGAGAGCCAGGTGTAAAGGGAGCTCTGTAATGCTGGACATCTCACCTCCGTGTTCCGGTTTTTGGTTTTTCTCATCAACACAAACAGCACAGTAGCAGTTTGCCCCTTACAGGGTTGCTGTGCGAATCCAACAACACATGTAAAGTGCATGTTAAGTGTGTAGTGTGTGCTTAATCAATGTTAGCTGCACCTGCTGCAAGTGTGTCATAAGCAACATCGGCGGGCTCTTTATCCTGGGTCATATGGGGCGGGCTTGCACCTGTGAATCTCTCCATGCTATGTCAGGACGTAAAGTAAGGCTGTTCACTGGTGTGGCGGTGGTGGCCGTGGTGGCGGCAGCAGCGGTGGCGGTGTGGCGTAGTGGTGGTGGTGTTGTTGTTGTAGCTGTGGTGTTGGTAGTGTGGTGGTGGTGGTGGTGCACAGAAACGCCAAGATGTGGAAGCCACTGGATGAATTTATGGTTGGGAGGTCTGTACCAGTGGGAGGCACACCACGGAGTCATAAGCCCATGCCAACTGGCTGTGTACACAGTTTTGCATACACAGGGCTTTAGGAGTGCAAGGATTGTGTGGATGGATTCTGCTGTGACAGCCTCCTCTGAGATGCTGAGACTCTATGGTGCTTCTCCATAACATGAGTCCCCTGATGTGCGTCCTTTGGGACACTGTCTGTCCCCACGAGCAGAGTGGGGTCACCGTGGCCGACTCCTCCTGGGGTAGCATGAGCCTCCTTTGTTCTTTGCTCTGGAGTTGATAATAATGACAGACTCCTTGTACTTGTCATATCAGGGTGGTCCCCAACTGTTTCTCAGCAAAGGAGCCCATGGCTCTGGGAGGAGGTAAGAGCTTGCCAAGATCATGGGGACAGCCCAGCCAAAGGACTTGGCTTTGGACCAGCGGACCTGTTTCCAAGCCGAGCAGAGGAGGTAGACACCGCATGGTCCACACATTCCCCATGACTTTTCCGTGTGTGGAAACCTCATTATAGCTGTCCCAGGGGAATGGTCTGGCTGAACACTCCATGGTTTACACAGTGGGTACCTAGGTCGGAAGAGGAATACCACAGCTGGGGGCGGCTCTGGGCTGTCATTGTGGCATGAGGGGGGAGCTACAGGTATAGTAGACAGACAGGAGGTTGGAGCCAGAAAACCATGAAACATTGTACCTGGTCTCCATGGACCGCTCTGCTGACTCCAGCATAGGGGGGAGGGGGCTTTGCCCTGGATACTCGCTGGATCTCAGTTTCCCCATCTATAAAATGGGATAGTGGTGAACTACCTATCTCCTCTATCAAGGCACTTACGTCTCTCAGAGTCCACAAACTCTGAGCCAGGCTGGCAGGATGCCTAGAGAGATGGTCCCTGGAGACCCATCAGCCTGTCAGGGCCAGAGCTAATTAGGGTGAGTTAGGAGGGAGGGCAGGGTCAGATTCCTCAAGAGCTAATTAGCTTCCCACAGTGGGGGAGGGGTTTTCTCAGCCACTGAGTAAGTATGACCCTGGTCATAGACTGATTCTCCCAGCTGCCTGTGACTCATCTGTCCAGGCATCTTTGTTTGTTCATTGTTCAACAGTGTAGAGCCCCGAGTGCGTGCCAGCTGGGCACTGTGGACAGAAAGAGAAATGGTGACCTCACTAACAGGGGGCTGACCCATGGCCTCTGTCCTTTCCACTTCCTGCTGCCTCTTCCCCCAGAAAGACCCCGGACACAGCTATATGGCCTGACCCAGCCTTGGCCACCTGTAGCCGTGTGGCCTTGCGTCTGTCAGGAATCTCTGAACTTCCTCACAGAAGTTTCTCTCTCCTGCACTACAGGCACACAGTGGCTGTTACCCAGTGCGCTTGGGAGAGCCAGATGAATGAATTCAGTGGGCCAGTGTAGCCACTAATCAGGGGTGGGAACACTGCCACGCTGCCATGGCTTCTTTTTTATGTGAATGTGTTAACCTTCCCTTTTTTAAAAAAGACAGGTTTCTCTGTGCAGCCTTGGCTGTTCTGGAGCTCACTATGTAGAATAGGCTGTTCTCCAACTCAGAGATCCACCTGCCTCTGCTTCCAAGGGCTGGGATAAAAGGTGTGAGCCACCATGCCTGATGTGTTAACCTATGTTTTTTAAAGAAGTTTTGGGGGCAGGTGAGACGTCTCAACAGGCAGAGGTACTTGCTGTGCAAGCCTGGTGACTGAGTTTGACTCCCGTGTAAAGGTAGAAGAGACCTGACTCCATACATTATCCTCTGACCTCCACACATGCAACGTGGTGCATGCTTCCCCACAGTGATAAACTTAAAATACTTACAAATTAAATGTTAGCAGTGTCTTTCTATAAAATATCAAGCAAATGGCCATACTCTGAATTTGAAAATATGAAGGATCCCCAGGAAGGTATATGGAAGGTGTTCTGGGGTTGCTTTGCCCATTTGGGAATCTTTAGGCTAAACACTAGTCTCAGAGTTGGAGTCAGAGAGGTAAACATGTCAAGCGAGTCCCTGAGAGCTGCGCTTGAGGTGAGAAGATAAATCAGGAGATGCACAAACACTTTAATCTCAAAACAGTGGTGAACGCTACAGAGGGAAAGCAGAGATAAGACAGACAGGAAGGCCCCACCAGGGAGGGCGCGCTGTCAGGAGGAAAGATGGTCCCAGCACACACAAGGCCTTACCTGACCATGCCTCGTCTTTCTTCCTCTTCCCCGTCTTCAGTGTAGAAGAGAGGCAGAGCTGATGTGAAACACTCTCAAGGGGTGAGAGCGGTCAGTGGCCAGGGGGACCATGGGAGATGTAGTCAGTGAGAAGTACTGTATTAGCATCCTTCCAGGGCAGTCCATTGGGCAGGCCATCCTGCTCAGCTTCATCCCTGAGTTTCATGACAGCCGATTCTAGGAAACCCGAGTGAAGATCAGATTTCAAAGAAAGGGTCAGGTGTGGGAGGGCGTGATGACTGTCTGTCTGTACACCCATTTGCTAACTAGGCCTGTGTACTCTCTGCAGCGTTAGGCCGGAGCACTAGCTTCACTGAAAAGGACCTGAAGGAGGCCAAGGCGTGGAGCCAGCAGATTGCAGCCCAGCTGACCACCCCTCCCAGCTCCAACTCCCGAGGGGTCCAGCTCTTCAACAGGCGCCGGCAGAGGGTGAACGAGTTCACCTTGGAGAGCCGTGGCCAGAGGCCACCGAAGCTTAGCCAAGAGGCCCTCCAAGCAGGGCATCCTTCGGGCCCCACAGGCCATGCCCCAGGCCTCAGTCTGAGACCTCCATCTCCACCCAAGCCAGGCCCTCCAAAGCACCCCAGCCCCCGAAGCCCCAGCAGAGGGGTCCCTGGTCACATCATGGAGGAGTACTCAGAGGAAGCCAGTCTCCTGCAGCACCTGGAGAAGGTTGCCAGTGAGGAGGAAGAAGTGCCCCTGGTGGTTTATTTAAAGGAGAATGCAGCCTTGCTAACAGCTAATGGGTTGCACCTGTCCCAGAGCCGAGAGCCCCAACAGTCCTCACCAAACCCTCCAGCGACTGAGGTGCACAGCCCAGCGGCGGACGTCAACCAGAACCCCTCCTCGCCTGGTGCCACACTCACCACACCAGCGTCCAACGGCCACCACAACCAGCCCACCGCCGACGTGAATCAGAATCCCCCAGCCACCGTCACCCCTGTCCAGCAGAATTCACCGGAGGCACAGTGTCCCCCAAATGGCACACCCGATTCCAAACCCAGCACTCCGTGTGCTGATGGGCAGCGCCAGGTGCCAGCAGAGGAGGTGAGATCCAGCATTCTCCTGATTGATAAGGTGTCAGCTCCATCATCTGCCACCAACACCTTCTCTAGAGAAGCCACTCCCCTCCCCAGCTCTGGGCCACCAGCTGCAGATCTCACGCCCAGCTCCCTGCTCATTGACATGCAGCCTAGCAGCCTAGTGGCATCAGCAGAACCAGAGATGTCTGGACTTGCAGCTGTCACCACACCCACTAAGGTATACAGTGAAGTGCATCTCACGTTAGCCAAGCCTGCATCAGTGGTCAACAGAACGGCCAGGCCTTTTGGGATCCAGTCACCGGCGAGTACCAGCCAGATAGAGCAGAGCCCCATGATGGGAAGAAGACATTTTGGAGAGAAGGCCTGGGCTCCCCCAGCTACCACCATGGTAGACAGGAGTCCCCAGCCACAAAGGCACATAATGTCCCGCAGCCCCATGGTAGAAAGGAGGCTGGTTGGACAGCGAAGCCCAGTCCTGGAGAGGCGCCCCTTAGGAAGCTTCACGCCACCCCCTACCTATGCTGAGACTTTGTCGACAGCCCAGGTGGCTTCCCGGGTTAGGTCTCCTCCCTCTTACTCCACCCTGTACCCCAGCTCTGACCCCAAGCCGCCTCATCTGAAGAGCCAGGTAGTCCCTGCCAACAAGACAGGCATTTTGGAAGAGTCTATGGCCCGCCGAGGCAGCCGGAAATCAATGTTCACTTTCGTGGAGAAGCCCAAGGTGACCCCGAATCCAGACTTGCTGGACCTAGTGCAGACAGCTGACGAGAAGCGGAGGCAGAGAGACCACGGCGAGGTGGGCATGGAGGAAGAGCCCTTCGCCCTGGGAGCTGAGGCATCCAACTTTCAGCAGGAGCCGGTAGCTCGGGACAGGGCTAGCCCTGCGGCCACTGAGGAGACTGTCCCCGAGTGGGCCTCCTGCCTCAAGTCTCCTCGTATCCAGGCCAAGCCGAAGCCCAAACCCAACCAGAACCTCTCAGAGGCCTCAGGGAAGGGGGCTGAGCTCTATGCCCGGCGCCAGTCTCGGATGGAGAAATACGTCATAGAGTCATCGGGCCATGCTGAATTGGCCCGCTGCCCTTCACCTACCATGTCCCTGCCTTCATCCTGGAAGTACTCCACGAATGCCCCTGGGGGCTTCCGAGTGGCATCCCTAAGCCCGGCGCGGACTCCGCCTGCCTCTCTCTACCACGGCTATCTGCCGGAGAACGGGGTCCTGCGCCCAGAGCCTACCAAGCAGCAACCATACCAGATGAGGCCTTCACTCTATGCTCTGTCTCCCGTCAAGGAACCTGCCAAGGCCTCGTCGCGTACCACCTCGTCACGCACTCCGTCACGCACCGTCTCACCTCGGGCTGCCTCCCCAGCCAAGCCTAGCTCCCTGGACCTGGTGCCCAACCTGCCTAGGGCAGGGCTCCCACCGTCTCCTGCTCTGCCTCGGCCTTCCCGCTCCTCCCCAGGCCTCTACACTGCCCCCGTCCAGGACAGCCTCCAGCCCACCGCTGTGAGCCCCACCTATAGCAGTGACATCTCCCCCGTGTCTCCCTCCAGGGCGTGGTCTCCTCGAGCCAAGCAGGCCCCCAGGCCTTCCTTCTCTACCCGGAATGCTGGAATCGAGGCCCAGGTGTGGAAGCCTTCTTTCTGCTTCAAGTAACACCTCCCAGTGCCTGTCTTGCCCCCTTCTCTGTGGGTCAGATGTGGCTCAGGGCTTAGCGAGGAAGACAGGCACCCAAGGATCGAGGTGGCCATGGGTGGACCATCTCCCCTGTCTGAGCTGTAGACAAAGGGGTTTAGACTCCGTGTCTGGGTGGTGAAGAGGGTCATGGAAAGAGAATACCCACGGAGGGTCCCGATAAGCAGAGAGTCTTTCCCTGGTCCTGCAAGCTTCAGGGGTGGGAGTCTGATGACAGTGTCTTGCTGGGAGAAGTCCCAGGGGGGTCTTCATGGGGACTCCGGGAACAGACGACCTTTCTGACACCCGTGAATCTGCAAGTCCTGGGTGCGCCTTACTCATAGGGCTCAGCTCCTGGCATCTGGCTTCCTGCTTCTGGATTCTCACCTTCACAGGGTGTTTCTTCCCCTCTGCCTTCTGGACGTTTCCTCTCTACTGCCTCAGAGACCTTTGCCTGGCTCCGCCTCCTCTCCTGAGCCCTCTGCTGCCTGTGGACTTAGCACATCACCGCTGATGCTTGTCTTACTGCTCTCTGAGATTCTGCTGCCTCCTCCGGGACCTGACTCTACGCCGGGAGGGAAACTCCTGGGCCCAGACCTCAGTCCTTCCAACTGCCTTGCCTTCACTGTTCCGGGGTGAGGGGACATCCCAGGGTATCCCTGAGAAGAATGCCATTTAGAGGGCTCTGCAGATATGAGTATGCTGTTAGGAGAGTGACCCTTTAGTGATACGGTAACCTCAGCCACGGTCTCCCTGACCAAAAAAAATAAGCCACCTCAGTGCGACAGACAGACAGACAACACGGGAGAGGCCATGGAGGAGTGTTCTAGACTCACACCTCCCATTTGCTGGGTGACTTTTCTTCTCTGGGCCTTAGTTTTCCCATGTACGAAGTCTTCCAGTTGTGATAACCATTGAAGACTGAGAGATGAGGCCGGTGCCATGGGTGGAAGTCTCAGAGGCGAGGGGACTGTCACGTAGAAAGGAAGTACAAAGGATGGGCTGAGGCTGCAGGACACAGGAGCTAGCTTCCCAATGGCCTGGTGAGGAACAGTCAGATTGAGCTGCTGTAGCCAACCAGTCAGAAGCCTGGGCTCAGCCGGTGGCAGTGGGAACATAGCTCGGTAGCTCAGAAGACAGGGACACAATAGACCCTAGAACTTTGAGGGAAAGCCTTGGACTTAGACGTGGGTTCTGACAGACTGGGTGCGCACCTCGGGCCTCAGTTTCCCTGTTCATACAGAGGGTATAGAGTCAGGTAGCCTGAGATTTCCACTCCCTGCCTCCCTTTGATGTGACACAACCCCCCCCCCATGCCCCTAGAACTAGTCGTTGGGGGCGAGAGAATGCAGACTCAAGAAGACACATTTAGATGGAATCTTCCCAAGATTCGGGGCTAGGACCACCCACTTCCTCTTCCCCAGCCCTATTTCTGGGCTCCCAGAGGGGCAGGGGTGGTGGAGGCGGTGCCCATGCTGGGCTGAGTGCGCAGTTTCCGTGAGCTTTGGGCTTGTCTCTATGGGAACAGGGGTGGCTTGTCAGTGAGCTCATCCACACAGGAGAGGGGATGCATGTGGGAACTGTGTGTGAGCGCAGCTCTTTCAGGCCAGGTCTTCCCAGAACAGAGAGAACCTCTAGGAGACCCCGCTCTTTTGCACCTGGAGTGGGGGTGGGGGCGACAGTGGAGGAGCCCCTCCCCCACCCCGCGGCCCTTGTCACCAGGCTGAGCTCTTTGCCACTTGGTTCTGTCTCCTGTTCTCAATACACTCTGTCTCAAATCTGTCTTGCTTCTTTCTTCTGCGCTGTTGCTGCCACGGGTTGGGGCTCCCTCTCTCCTCCCTGGTTTCCGGCCTGGAAGTGAAATGGACTGGCTCAACTGCTGTGTGTGCACGCGCGCATGGAAGTGAGGTTGTGTCCCCGAGTGCGACAGTGCCTGCAGTGTGTCTGGGTCTGCTGGTGCCCGCCCTGTGCTGCCTGCGAAAGGAGGGCGCTTTCTTCCCTTCACTCCTTTCCCGAGGCTGGCCCAGACGGTGTTGAGGGAAGAGGAAGCACGCTGCTGTGTGGTCCACACTGGTTTGCAGTGATAGGGTCTGTAGCAGAGGCTGGCCTTGAATTCATGATGATCCCCCTGCCTCAGTTTCCTGAGTGCTAGGACTATAATCATGAGCTTCTGTACCTGGTTCTTGTTGTTTACTCTTTTTGTTTTGCTTTTTGAGACAAGGTCTCGCTGTGTAGCTCTGGCTGACCTGGAACTTGCTAGATAGACCAGGCTGTCCTTGAACTTGCCGAGATCCACCTGTGTGTGTGTGTGGGGGTGTTGAAGTGTCTTCCACCAGAAATTTCACTGTTCAGTCTCCTTTTTCATGTAAATTGGACTGTTTCCCACGTTTATCACCGATCCTGCCTGGCTCTCCTGGTGGAGAAGAAAAGGCTGTGGGGTCAGTTCTGTGTGAGTCTGCAGAGCCCCTGCCTGTCTCTGGCCCTGGTTTCCCTTCCCTTGGTTCTTCCCAGTGCAGTGACTTGGCTGCAGGACGTGGCCCCAGAAGTTCTGTGGTCACTGACAGTACTGTGGTGACTGCTCAGCTTTGGTCTCTGCCCCCTCCAGAGGCTGGGGTGACTGGCTGCCACTATCTGAATTTTCAAGGAGTCTGGAAGGCACGGTGCCCTGGGCTCCTGGGCGGAAGTCAACAGCTGCCTCCTCCTTCCTTTCTGTGTTGTGCCTACTCTGACCCCGTGGGGTCAGCCCTCAGACATGGCAATGAGCATGAGGTCAGGCCTGGCTTGCCTCCACAGTTCAGCCTGTCCCTGAACCATGTCACTTCATAGACCTGGCTGAATCTGATGACTCCTTCCACTTGTTGGACCGGCAATCCCCTATGACCAGGAAAGGTGAAAACAAAATTTTGGAAATTGTTAAACAGTTCTCACAGCTCCTCTAGCCTCTTCCGGTTCCGCCTTAACGTTGTTGACTGGGGCCAGGTGTGGTGGTGCACGCCCTTGATCTCAGCACTCAGGAGGCAGAGGCGGGAGGAGCTCTGAGTTTGAGGCCAGCTTGGTCTACATAGGGAGCTCTAGGACATCCAGGGCCACATAGAGAGACCCTGTCTAAGATAACAACAACAGAACATTTGCTGACTGACTTGGGCCATGAACTCGGAGTGGCACTCGTTAGAAGATGGGACATGCCTGAGCCCCTTTGATTGGCTTTTGGCTCTGAGACTCTGGCCTCAGTCTCCAGTCCTTCCTGTCTCACCAGGGCAGAGGCCTCCCTTGAAGCTCTTCTCCACAAGCCTGTGGTATGGTATGCCTCCCACAGGTGGCCCGGCTGTAAGCAGAGATGTGTCACACACAGAGAATAGCTCTCAGGGGCTCTGGCTTGTATGTACACATATAACCCTGACCCTGAGAATAAAACGGGGAGGAGGCCTTGTGCTGAGAAGGCTTCCTTGATGACTTGGATACCCTGGAAAAGCCTCCATAGACCACTGCCACATAACATCCCACCAAAAGGGTCCTCTTCTGGCTCCTCCTAACGGTCCTTTCCAGTGAAAGGGCAGAGGTTGTACTCGTCTGGCCGCTGCTGTTGTGTGACTGGGGAATAGATGCCATGTACTTCTACTGTTTTCATTTGATTGGCACGGACTAAATTCTCCACTGGGTGAAAGGATGACTAGCAGATTACCGACTGGGTGAAAGGATGGATCTTGTGGGTGATTCAGACTCTGATTGGGATGAAGTCACTGGCTGGACCCAATGGCTTAGCAATGAGATGAATGGATGATCAATAGTGAATGGGGACTCAACTGAAAGCCCAGGTGGACTGCTTATTTCTGGAATATGGGTGAACAGCTAGATAGTTTAAAGTAGCGTGCTTAGCCTGTATTCCCAAGCCCTCCACTTTCAACCCCCTTAACACTGTTTAAGCACATGTAGCCTTTGAAACACACGCACGCACACACACACACACACACACGCACACGCACGCGCACACACACCCCAGCTGGGGAGAACACTCTGGGGTGTTATTTACACCTCTTGGCTTCATTTTCCTCACTAGTGAAATGGATGTGATAAGGCCAACTTCCCAACCAGTCTGACCTAACTGGGAGGAGTAAGAGGTGATGGATGAAGATGGAGCATTAGACGGATAAGTACTCCAGTAGATAGGAAATGGGTTCGCCACCATAGCCATGCGGTGCTTTGTAACCTCAGAGATGGTCGCCGCCTGGTTACACAGAACCCGGCTCACTGTCCCTGTTGCCAAGAGTGAAGGCAGGATCAGAAGTTCAAAGTCGCCGGGCATTGGTGGCGCACGCCTTTAATCCCAGCACTCGGGAGGCAGAGGCAGGCGGATCTCTGTGAGTTCGAGACCAGCCTGGACTACCAAGTGAGTTCCAGGACAGCCTCCAAAGCCACAGAGAAACCCTGTCTTGAAAAACCAAAAAAAAAAAAAAAAAAGTTCAAAGTCGTCCTCAGCGACATATTGAGAGCCAGCCTGGGATACATAAAACCTTCTCTCAAAAATGTTTATATATATATATATGTACATATATATATATATACACACACAATTTAAGTTACATTTTTGAATAGATAAAACCCCTATGGTTCAAAATTCTAAACATACATAGAAAATAGTAACTTAAAAAGACTGGTTCCCACCCCCTGTGACTGTGTGCAGTGTGCCTGCCAGCCCCATTCCTTAACTTCGTGTGTCTTTCCCATCTCTCCTCTTAGCAGTATCTGTTTAGCCGTTCCCTCCAAGGAACGTGCGAGCATGCTGTGTCCTTTCACACGAGTTCTTTCCTCCCGGCTTCGTGGACACCCCATTATACAGAGGAGGAAGCTGAAGGCTAGAGGGCTGGACAATCCTTTGCCCATTCCCTCCCACCAAGTGAGGGAGCCTGTCTCCAAAGCAAGCAGTGGTTGACCCCAGATGGCAAAGGCTTTTAAAGCTTCTGCATTGAGTTGAGCCGCCTGCGTTATTACTTCAGGCACTACCTGACTTTGTTGAGTACCTTTCCTATATCGATCTTTTCCAAAACCCTGACTCTGGAAGACCTGGCACTAAACCTCCCCCTCGGCCTCTCTGCTCTCTCCCCAGGACCGCCCCGAGAGCCTGCCCACGTCCCCACCCTGGACGCCGGGCGCTTCCCGGCCCCCCAGCAGCCTGGACGGCTGGGTGAGCCCGGGGCCGTGGGAGCCGGGTCGCGGGAGCAGCATGAGCAGCCCCCCGCCGCTGCCGCCGCCGCCGCCAATGTCCCCCTCGTGGAGCGAGCGCTCGGTGTCCCCGCTGCGACCGGAGGTCGAAGTGCGGCCTCCGAGCCGCCAGCTGCAGGCGCTTCTGGCGCGCAACATCATCAACGCGGCCCGGCGCAAGAGCGCCTCCCCGCGGCCAGCGACCGCCGAGCCCCTGCGGCCCTTTTCCCCGCCGCAGGGGCCGCCGCCGCGCATGCGCTCTCCGCAGCCCGCCCGCCCCGCAGGCAGCTTCCGCGGAGGCGCCTTCGCCCCCATCCCGCGGAGCCCCTTGCCCGTCGGGCCTTCGTCCTGCGCTAGTCCCCGGAGTCCCCAGGCCACTCCGTCCAGGCCTTTTCCCTACCGTCGCTCGCCCACAGACTCCGACGTGTCCCTCGACTCTGAGGACTCCGGGCTTAAGTCGCCTGGCATCCTGGGCTACAATATCTGTCCTCGAGGCTGGAATGGCAGCCTGAGGTTCAAGCGTGGTAGTCTCCCCACCGAGGCCTCTTGCACCACCTAAAGTTTCCCACCCCGCGAGGGCCGAGCCAGAAGAAGCACCAAGTTTGGGGAACCCCAGCACTGGGACCCCTCAAGGTCTGACCTCATTGGACAGCCCGGGAGAATGCGGTCAGGGAAGGAGAGCTCTGGGCCTGGGCGCTGAGTAGCTAGTCACTCAAACCTGGGTTCTAGCCCTTGGCTCTGTCATTCATTCGTGTGACCCCGAGCAAGAGCCCCCTCCCTGTCTCTGACCCTCAGCTCTGACCGATGCAGTAGTCTCCAGACATTTTCCCTTTCCATCCACACACTCGCGCCTTGGGGGACTGCTACTGTGCACCCCACCCTTGGGCCTGCACCATGCCAGGCTTCCATGCTCTGCCCTCACTCTGTTCTCCAGCAGCCTGGCAAATGAAGTGTGTGCTGAAAAAAAAAAAAACCTAGGCCATGACCCATGCCCAGGCCCTGGCTTGACCACCGGCTCCTGGCACCAAGTCCTAGGCAGGAGCAGCTGTTTTCCATCCCTTCTCAGACTGGCTCTATTTTTAACCTGGTGACCTTTTAGAGAGATCTCCCAGGCAAGCTCAAGGTGCCTTACTGGGCCCCTCTGGGGAGAAGGAGCTGGAAGATTCTCCCTAGGTTCTGCCATGCTGCTTTTTCTACCCCAGCTCAGGGTGTCCAGGGTATCTGTATGGCCAGGGCAGAGCAGTATGCACGGTGCTGAGTTCCCCGGGGCTACGCTTCTCAGGAGTCCCAGACCTCTGCCCTTCTCAGCCTGCTCATGGCAAATTTGAGTTTTTTCAAAGCTGGGGGGAGGAGAGATGGCAGCCTTACATGGCTGCCTCCCCTCCCCGTCTGGCCTTACCTATTTGGAAAGAGGTACTTGTTTTGTAAGCCATGGCTAGGATGCGTTGTGGGGAATTCGGTATTGGGTGGAGGTGGCTCCTAACCTCTGAGGATTCCCACCCTGAAATGCGTCCTATGGGTATTAGAAAGGGAGGGTGAGGGTGAGGGACCACAGGGCTTGAATTCAGAGACAGTGCCCCTGGCTGGGAACTCAAGAGGCCATGCCAGGGTGGGCCTGTGTTTCCAGCCACCAAGTAAATGTGTCTTCCCTTCGGTTTCAGGCCGTGGCCTAGTGTCTACACTGTGCCCAGGTGAGTGGGCACTGCTATATTCCTTTTCTTTACATCTCACTCTGGCCTAGCTCATGCCTCTACCAGTGGCCTTGAGGAGCTGGTCCCCTAAACTTTAGTGACTCTGATTCCAATCCCCAAGAGCGACACTGGGAAGAATGTAGCTGAGTTTTGTCGTTTTCATTATTGGCTGATTTTAACCCTTGGGGTTCAAAATATCAGCTTCAGACTTCGGAACCTGGGGGTGTGGGTGCTGGAGTTCAATGAGGTGTAAATATATGTAGATGCAAATATATGTAGGTGAGGGATGATGTGATTTGGTGCAATTAGTAGATTTACCCACACATCAGGGTGATCTAGAGCCCACGAGTAAGGCTAGGGGAAGCCAGGGTAAGAACGGAATAGTCAGGGTTGGGATGGAGTGCATTGGAATAAAGGGGAGGTTCGTAATGCCCATTGTGGGGAACCTGGCCCTATGGGAAGATGAGAGGGTACTCAGCTCAGTTAATAATAAATGGACACATTTACCAAAGCCCCCACCTGCTGCAACATCCCTTGTAGCTAAAGAGTCTCAGGCTAGGAATGCCTCCCAGAGAAGAGACACTATTAGACATCTAGCTGATGCTGGAGCATGGATCAGCTTCTACCTGCATTTCCTTAGAGAACCAGCAGGAGGCAGCGTGGAGAAGCTGTTTCTGCTATTCTGGCATAGCGACTGCCTTCTCCCTTATGGTCTCCTCTAACACACTAGAGCTTGCCTGTATCCTGCCTCGAGCCTCTTGTAGAATTCAGAGAAATAAATGCTTCCTGCATTCTTCTGCCTCCGGTGTCATTTTTGCCTTCCAGGAAGTCGTTCTTTTCTTCCCAAATATATATATCAGCAGATAGAATATCTGAGGTGCATGGTCTTGGAGTTTGGAAGACATAAGAACAGGTGGAGAACCTTGGGACCATAGACGTCCTTGGACTGAAGCCTAGGTTCTGTCATTGGTTAACTAGGTGGATCTGAGTAAGCCATTCCCTCCCCATGCCTTGGCTTCCCCATCTGAGTGATAGGAGAGTTGATCTAAGTAGTGTCTTGGAGTAATACTGCTACAGGAATGCTGTTGCTGGAGTGGGCAGAGCCAAGCTGGATCAGGGTCCAGTGCTCTGCTACCAGTTCTTCTCTGCCATCAAGATTCCAGGAGGTTCCATGTGAGTTTAGGCAACTATAGTGAGACCGGGGTCATCAGGGACCCGATTCCTATGGGCAGCTCTTGGCTCAGAGAAAGTGATTGTGTTCCTACTTCTAGGTGAGGACATCCCTTAGCCCTACGCTCTAGATTCAGGGTCAGCAGAGACTGGGCTGGGCAACCCAAGGGGCAGAAAGCGGAGTTCAGAGCAGAGCCCAGGATGCTGCCCCAAGTGGGTGTGAGGAAGGCCACTGGAGCCATCCACGCTAATGGACTCAGGTGCCTGCCTGTTTCCAGAGAACTCTTGGTGCGCCCACCCTCCCTGAGGTTGACTTGTGTGCCCCTAACAAGTCATGACCTCTGCCAGAGCCTGTCCCGTGTACAGTCAGTATCTAACCGCCTGCTGGCGGCTTCACTCCCTTACCTCTGGCCCAGTGCTCAGGACCTCAAACTAATTCATCCGTGATGGAATGAGCTCACCACCTGACCCTGCCCCCACCACACCTCCCGTTTCCAGACCGTCTCCAGGATATGGGTATTATCCAAGTGTCCTCAACATCCTCTCCTCCCCGTCGCTTCTGACTCCACCTTAAGCCAGCTACCCCTATCTCTCCCTTAGCTACCACACAATCTCCCTGCCTCTGGTCGGGCCCCTTCAACCTGTATGTGCACAGCAGCTGTTTCTGGGAAACGTCAATCTGATCGCCTCTATCCGCCAGCTCAATCTCTTCATCAGCCTTCTGCAGCACACTTTACTTTGAAAACCTGGCCCCTGCCCGCCTGTCTGGCCTCAACTCCCAGCACCGGCCTCAGCTCCTATCTCTGGCCCTCCTTACCAACCCTCCACAGTCTTTGCAAGAGGTCTATCCTTCAAATGCAGGATCCCTGGCCTCTCTGTGGTAAACTCCCAGAAATCCTGCATCCTCCAAGATCCAGTGCCAACGTCTCCTCCTCTGGGAGGCCTTCCCAGCCTGCACACTGACCTGGCACCATGCCACATGCTCCTTGAGCTCTTTCAGGGCAACGCTAGAGATGTAATAGCACAAAGGCTGTTTTACTGGTCGAGTCTGAGCTAGCTGAGCTCTTGGCATATTTGTTTTTAGCTCATGGATAGAGGCTCAGAGAATATGAGAAGACAGTGGGGGGGGAGAAAAAGGAGGGAAAGAAGGCAAGGGGAGGAAAGGAGAGATGGAAAGAAGGAGGGAGAGGAAGGGAGGGAAGAAAGAAGGAAGGAAAAGTCAAGAAAAACATTGGTCAACAATTAATTCATTTATTTCTCCATTCACCCATGCTTCCTTCATCCAGCAAACAGCTACTGAATTTCTATTAGGCATTACTCTAGACACTAGGGTTATAGCAGTTACCAAGCTTCAGCAAATGCCGTCAATCTCCAGCATTCCCAGGTGACTGAAGAGTTCTCATGTGAGTTCTCAGGGGGTTCAAGGCCTTCTGTTTGCAAGGGCCTGCTGCCGGGGCACCTGTCTTCCCCAGAGGCCAGTGCTCTTAGCATCTGGCCCTGGCTCCTGTTGCAGCCCGAAATAAGGCTGACCCACGGACGAGGCGAGAGTGATTCTTGTCAGCTGAAGCCAGCACTGGCTGTAGGGCACACCCTGCTCGCTGACCGCAGACCGCTGACCAGGGAGACTGCAATAGACACTCACCACACAACTCCAGCTCCCCGACTGAGGTGTTAATCTTGAGGGTCTGACTTTCCTTCCCACCTACTGTGGCCCCTGCAGGTACAGGCATTATCCTCTCATCTTTGGGAGCTCTTGGGACCTAGGGGGAGTGGGCAGAGGAGATGAGATAATTTTCAGGGCCTTACAGGGGATCTGGAGAGTCTGGGCCTCACAGAGGCCTAGGGTCTGCATCAGGAGGAAGGGAACTATAAACTCCAGGGTCCTGGACATCAAATGGGAAGGCTGGGGTTAAAGGTGAGGGAGAGATAAGGACTCTCTCTGTCTCCAGGATCCTTAGGCACTGCAGGGAGACAACTCCCTGACTCTGAATTAGGGACCCTGCTGAGATCCTGTGGATGTTTATCTGGGGTCAGATCTGAGGGCTGTGGTGTTCTAGTTCAGTTCCCACCTGTCAATTATCTTGTGACCCTAACCCTCAACTGTGTGCAGATGTGCTCAGATTTGCATTCAGTTTTAGAGGTCCATGGACACCCTGAAGTCCATTCCTGCGGTTAGTCCAACCAGCACTGTTAAATTACAAAGGAGAAACTGCGGCATGGAGCCGGTGAATGACCTGTTCATCTGTGCAGAGAAAGTCCAGGGAGCCTATTGGACTCCTCAGCCAGTGTCCACCAGGGTCCTGTTGTGCATGGGGACACAGATGGAGCATGGGAAGACCTGGAAGCCAAGAAGAGGGGCACAGACAGGGGCAGGCAGGGACGAGGGACTCAGGGTTAGGTTTCCTTTTCTGATCCATGTTGGGGAACTGAGTTGGGAACTCACACATGTTCTCTGGGGCTTGTGCTTGTGAATCTGCTCCAAGATTCCTGGAAAGCAAGAGAGGGATGAAGGAAGAGTAAGAGAAGACAGGTAGGGACAGCTGAGGGCTGGGGCCTTGAGGTGATGCTGGGAACTGAGTTGGGACAGGTGGGCAGGGGCCAGCTTTCCAAAAGGGGAGTGTTACAAAGGGGATGCAGAGATGGAGCAGGTTATACTGGCATTTCCCAGAGAGACCTCTGCTGCCGTGGAGAGACAGAGGAGCATGTGATGGCTTTGCCTATATAATTGGACTAGCCTCAAGACCAAGTCCCTCAAGACCCCGGAGTAGCTCTGGCCTGATTCACGATCCCCCCAGCCTACCCCAGTATCCAATTAGAGCTCTTTGGTCAGCAGATGACAATTGTGTCTGAGGTGCTGCCTCCCCCTCCCCTGAAGCCCCAGGCATGGGGACAGGACCCTAAAGAGAAGCCCTTAAAGAGAGTGATTTCCTAGTAGATTGGTTTCTGATTTGTGTGGCCTCATGGGTCCATTCTCCTCCTTCCTATAGAGTCCTCAAATGCCCTTCAATCCCTCTAGCCTTTGCTTGTGGTTATGGTCAGCTCAGGCCTGGGGCTGGGTGACAAGGACTTAGAAAGGTTTGGGGAGAAAAGGAGGCTTCCTGGGCCATTTGTGGGAGTTTCTCCCCTGCAGGATGATCCCCAAGGAGCACAAGGAGCCAGTGATGGCTGTCACAGGAGATCCTGCTGAACCAGGTAAGGTGGACCCAGGAAACAAACTCCTCTTGATCTCAGGGTATGGCCATTCAGGTCTGCTGGCCCCCCAGGGCTGGCAAGCAAGTGAGGGTCCCACAACAGTCTCTAGACATGTCTGTGGAGTATGCCACCAGGCTAGGATCCTTTCTGAGGCTTCTGTGGAAGCTTATCCTTCTCCATTACAACTGAGTACCCAGACTGGTCCTTGGTTCCAAGGCCACCCTGTTCCCAGCCCTCTCTAAGGCCAAACAGCTCCAAGGACTCCCTCTTGTTCAGCCCAACTGTGGGTCTCACTGAGGCCTGAGGGCAGGACAGGTAGCCCAGCTCCGTTTCTGGGAATAGGAGTTTATGTGTGTGTTGGGGCATGGGGGGACTGGAGGGAGGGTGGCTCAGTTGGCCTCAAACCATTTTACTTTCATGAACAAATCACCCCAATTCCACACTTGGCAATTTTATAAGGCCCCCTTGAGGACTCCATTTATAATCTTGGAGTTTATTATTACAGCACTTCAAACATTCCAAAAATTAATCCAACTAAGTTTGGAGTTTCAAGCCTTCATGTGACCTCAATGGCTCTGTGTTGCCAGTTAAAATCCAGACCCACAGCATCGTCTCCTGGGACTATGGTTTGGTGCAGTTGGGGTGCGGCCCACACCGTTGTCTTCTGGACTAATGCCCAGGTGACTGGCGTGGATGGCAACAGAGACACTCTGGTAACTGCTCCCGAGCTCCTTTGCTGCTTAGTCTTGGTCAGAGACTGACAGACTCAACAATTGTGTTGTGTTGTTGTTGTTTTAATCTTTTCTCTTTGGCTCCTTTGGGGGGCTCACTACCCAGCTCTCAAATAATCACACAGTGAGACTTTTTCTTACATATGAATGCCCGACTTTAGCTTACCTTATTTCTAGCCAGCTTTTCTTAACTTAGATTATCCCATCTACCTTTTGCCTCTGAGCTTTTACCTTTCTCTATTTCTGAATGTCTTTTCTTTCCTTCTTATTCCACGACTGGCTGTGTAGCTCGATAGCTGGATAGCTGGCTTCTTCTTTTCTTGATCTTTGATGTCCTCTTTCCAGATTTCTCCTTCTATTTATCTCATTTTCTTCTGCATGTTATTGACCATTCAGCTCTTAATTAGAACAATCAAGTGTTTTAGACAGGCACAGTAACACAGCTCACAGAGTTAAAGAAATGCAACATAAAAGAATGCAACATATCTTTGCATCATTAAACAAATGTTCCACAGCACAAACACATGTAACACATCTTTAACTAATATTCTACAACAGTGTGTCTTAAAATTTATTTTTAGAAACAATTTTGCTATACAGCTGACATGACCTTTGAGAGTGCACTGTGGTGGGGGTGGGCAGGAGTAGGTGGATGAGTGTGTGTGTGTGTGTGAGAAAGAGAGAGAGAGAGAGAGAGAGAGAGAGAGAGAGAGAGAGATCCTTCCTTCAACAGGCCTTACCTCCTGAAGTTTTCAACCTTCCTAAACAGTGCCACCAACTAGGGATCATGTATTTAAATAGTGATTTTATGGGGGAAATTTTCCATAAAACCATCACAGACACTAGTGACATTTTAAAGTTAAAGGCAGCCATTGAAAAGCAATAGCGATCACTGGGCAGTGGTGGCATACCTCTTTAATCCCAGCACTTGGGAGGAAGAGGCAAACAGATTTCTGAGTTCAAAGCCAGCCTGGTCTACAGAGTGAGTTCCAAGATAGTCAGGGCTACATAAGGAAACCTGTCTCAATCCCCCCACCAAAAAACAATATCAAATCACTTACCATCATTTCTGGGTGCTATGGGATAGACACTGTGTTTAGAAGCATTTATGCACTAAGCCACCTGAGCTTCACAACAGCACTAAATTACAGATTATCATCCTGGTTCTGCAGACCAGAAACAAGGCTCAGAGCGGCCAGGTGGTCCTGATTGGTAGGCATCAAAGTTGGGATTTGACTGTTGGTCTCTCTGTCTCCAGATCTGCTGCTTCTATTGCGGTTTTGTAAATAATACATCCAATAAAGCATCTGGACAAGTGGCCAGAGAGATGGTTTAATGGCTACACGCACCAGAGGCTCTTCCGGAGGACTGGGGCTCAGTTTCCAGAATCCATATGGGGGCTCACAACTGTTTATAACTAACTCCACTTCTAGAGGATCTGACTTCCTCTTCTGGCCTCTGTGGGTATTGTATACATGTGGTGTACAGACACACATTCAGGCAAAATATCCAAACACAAAATAATTGTTTTTGAAAAACTCAAACAAAACACACGAGTGGCTTTGAAAGTTCTTCATAATGAAACAATTTGTATACGATAGCCACTGCCAGCATACTGCTGTAGATTCCTCTGATCAAAATTTTTATATGAATGCATGTGCATGGATCACGTTCTCCAGCTGGGCTTCTTGTTCCTTCACGGCACACCACAGGTTTCTTTCCATCCTGGCGTGATTTATCTTGCTGTGTCCCCCTCACCTGCTTCCTTAGCATATCATTGCTTGCAACATGTCTTATTTATCCAACAAATTCGTGATGGTGGTCCAAAGCTTACCTTAGGTGGTACCCTTGAAAAAAGTGTCTGGGTGCTCTTGTGCAAAGGATATAGCTTAGCTGTAGTCTGAGTCCTTGTTGGCAGTGACAATAGGGACAGTGGGGGTGGTTCAGTGGGTACAAAGTACTTGCCATGCAAGCATGGAGACCCGAGTTCCAGTTCCTAGCACCCATGTAAAAGTCACTGAGCATGGCTGCAGGCATCTGTAACCTGAGCATAAGGAGACAGGAGGGGCCATGCAGCATCGGGAGGCAGAGATGGGAGGGTCCTCCCCTGGAGAGCAGGTCACCTCCTCCATCTCCAATTCCTATAACCAGAGGAAAAGTAACATTCCCTATTTATCTCAAAATATTAGCTCATTGAACAGAATCATCAGTAATGATTTAGTGTCATCTAAGAACTAGTCTGTATTCAGATTTTTTTGTTTTGTTTTGTTTTTCGAGACAGGGTTTCTCTGTATTGCTTTGGAGGCTGTCCTGGAACTAGCTCATGTAGATCAGGCTGGTCTCAAACTCACAGAGATCTACCTGCCTCTGCCTCCAGAGTGCTGGGATTAAAAGTGTGTGCTACCACCACCCGGCTGTATTCATATTTCTTCCATTTAATTTTTTAATAGTTTTTAAGCTTCAGTGGTGGTACATGCCTTTAATCCCAGCATTTGGGAGGCAGAGGCAGGCAGATCTCTGAGTTTGAGGCCAGTGTGGTCTATAGACTGAGTTTCAGGACAGCCAAGGCTACATAGAGAAACCCTGTCTCAAAATTTTGTTTTGTTTTTTGTTTTTGGAGCAGGGTTTCTCTGTGGCTTTGGAGGCTGTCCTAGAACTAGCTCTTGTAGACCAGGCTGGTCTTGAACTCATGGAGATCTGCTTGCTTCTGCCTCCCGAGTGCTGGGATTAAAGGTGTGCTCCACCAATGCCAGGCTCTCAAAAAAATTTAAAAGACTTATATATGTATTTTATGTGTATGGGTGTTTTTACACATTCATGCAGTTCTTACATGGCCAGAAGGTATTAAATGCCTCCACCACCCACCCAGGAACTGGGATTGCAGACACTTGTGAGCTGCCTTCAGGGTGCTGGGAATTGAACCTGGGTCCTCAGTAGAGCAACTAGTGTTCTTAAATGCTGAGTCATCTCTCCAGCCCCCATTTGTAGCTTTAATCAGGACCCAAGAGAGGTTCATGGTTCTTATGTGGCTTCACTGTCTCTTAAATATCATGTAATCTAAACAGTCCCTCTCTTTTTCTTTCTTTTTCATGTCCTCTTGTTTGAAGAAACCAGACAGCTGCACAGCTGCACTTCCCAAGCATCCTACATCCTGTTTCTGGCTCATGCCCCCTTGTTCCACTGTTAGTTTTCTCCTGAGCCCTCTCCAGTCACACATTCACAGCCAAATGCTCTATGGACACGCTTTAGTGGAGATCACCACTGACCCCCAACTTGGTAACTCTGACGGTCAGTCTTCGGGTCTCACCCGGTTTGACATGTCAGCAGAATTTGACTCCTTAGGCTGTCTGTCTCTGAAGTCTTTCAGAATTTGGTTTCCAGGTGCCCTCCTTCTGCATTTCCTCCTTGCTTCCCCTGTCTCCAGGTTTCAAGGGCATTTTCCTACTCCGCTGAAATTGGGCTAAGCCAGTGACTCTCTGGATCTGTTTTGCTTTCTCCCTGACCTCATCCAGCCTCCTATCTAAAAATGTCATTTATTCACCTGACACAGGAGGCTCTGTGTCTGTTTTTAGTGTGTGTGTGTGTGTGTGTGTATTTTTTCCTGTGCTGGAGGAGATTGCCAAGCAAGTACTCTACCGCTGACCGACAGCCCCACCCTGAATCAGATGTTGAAGCTGGCAATGTTAGCTAAGCTGCCCATGTAGAACATGGTCTCCCTCCATCATCCTTAGCAGGCTATCACTGTGTCTTCCAGGAGGCTTTCTCCTTTGTTGGTTAAATATACACTTACGCCTTTTGCTCTCAGGGAAGCACAAGCAATGGGATGGGACCCAAACACTTAAGGACAGTCAGCAGCCCTGAAAATCCTCTAAGTGGGCATAATGACTGATGCTAACCATGAGAAGAGAGATAAATATTAGGTTCTTCATTGAAAAGCAACATGAGACAGGCCTGGGGGTGCATACTTGTTCACGGTAATCCTCAGCTATATAGCAATTTCAAGGACAGCCTGGGCCACATGAGGCTGTGTCAAAACACCGTGGGTAAGGGTGCTCACTGCCAAGTCTGACAAACTGAATTCTATCCCTGCGACCCACAAGGTGGAGTAAGAGGGCCAGCACGTTCTCTCGACACCACAGGTGTGCTATGGCACACTCCAGCCCCTATAACTTAATAAATAGATGAATGTGATGAAAACAAGAGCAGAAAAGGGGAAAGGAAAATGAAAACGGTAGCAATAACAACTACTGTTTATAAGATCACGATGCCCCACATTCTGATCTCTATAGTCTTCTTCTTTTGAACATTAGACTCTCAAGTCCCTCCTTGGCATTTCCACTTGAACGTTTATAAGATGACTCAGACAGAAAAGGCGCCTTTGCCTTTTCAGGACTTACAGTGAGCCCAGCCTGCCTTGAACACAGTCCTTTCTCATTAGCCTCTGAGAATATTCCCAAGTTTCCAGATAATTGAGAGAGTAAAACTAGGTAAAGCAAGCATGTCTTAGTTTACTTTCTACTGCTGTGACAAAGACACCTTGACCAAATGCAACTTAGGGAGAGAAGGGTTGATTTGTTTCTAGGTCTTGATCACAGTCCATCATGGAGGGAAATCAGGGCAGGAACGTGGAGGCAGGAACTGAAGTGGAGACTCATGGAGGAATGCCATTTACTGATCTCTTTATCATGAAGGGGTGTTGTATTTTGTCAAAGGCTTTTTCCGAATCAAGTGAGATGATCATGTGGTTTTTCTTTTGCAGTTTGTTTATATGGTGGATTACATGGATAGATTTTCATATGTTGAACCATCTCTGCATCCCTGGGATGAAGCCTACTTAATCATGGTGGATGATTTTTCTGATGTGTTCTTGGATTTGATTTGCTAATATTTTATTGAGTATTTTTGCATCAATGTTCATGAGGGATATTGGTCTGTAGTTCTTTCTTAGTTGTGTCTTTGTGTGGCTGGGTATCAAGGTAATTGTAGCTTCGTAAAAAGATTCTGGCAACAAACCTCCTGCTTCTATTGTGTGGAACACTTTGAGGAGTATTAGAATTATCTCTTCTTTAAATTTCTGGTAGAATTCTGCACTGAAGCCATCTGGACCTGGGCTTTTTTTGGTTGGGAGACTTTTGATGACTGCTTTTATTTCATTAAGGATTATAGGTCTGTTTAGATTGCTTAACTGCTCTTGATTTAATTTTGATAAGTGATGTCTATCCAGAAAATTGTACATTTCCTTTACATTTTCAAATTTTGTGGAGTACAGGTTTTCAAAGTATGACCTGAAGATTCTCTGGATTTCCTCAGTGTCTGTTATTATGTCCCTCTTTCCAGTCCTGATTTTGTTGATTTGCATGTTCTCTCTCTGCCTTTTAGTTAATTTGGACAGAAGCTTGTCTATCTTGTTGATTTTCTCGAAGAACCAACTCTTTGTTACATTGATTCTTTGTATTGTTTTGTTTCGACTTGATTGATTTCAGCCCTCAATTTGATTATTTCCTGGCATCTACTCCTCCTGGGTGAGTTTGCTTCTTTTTCTAGAGTTTTCATTTGTGCTGTTAATTCTCTAGTGTGACTATTCTCCAGTTTTCTCATATGTGCACTTAGTGCTATGAACTTTCCTCTTAGTACTCCTTCAAAGTGTCCCATAAATTTGGGTATGTTGTGTCTTCATTTTCATTGAATTTTAGGAAGTCTTTCTTTATTTCTTCCTTGACCCAGGAATGGTGCAATTGTACATTGTTCAATTTCCATGAGTTTGTAGGGTTTCTGCAATTTGTGTTGTTGTTGAATTCTAACTTTAAAGCATGGTGGTCTGATTGGAATAACCTACAGGGGGTTATTCCAATTTTTTTGTACCTGTTGAGGTTTGCTATGTTGCTAAGTGTGTGGTTGATTTTAGAGAAGGTCCCATGTGGTTCTGAGAAGAAGGTATATTCTTTTGTGTTTGGGTGGAATGTTCTATAGATGTCTGTTAAACCCAATTGGGTCATAACTTCTGTTAGTTCCTTTGTTTCTTTGTTGAGTTTCTGTCTGGTGGTCCTATCTAGTGGTGAGAGTGGGTGTTGAAGTCTCCCACTATAACTGTGTGAGGTCTTATATGTGATTTGAGTTTTAGTAATGTTTCTTTTACGAATGTGGGCGCCCTTGTATTTGGGGCATAGATGTTCGGAATTGAGACTTCATCCTGATGGATTTTTTTCCTGTGATGAATATGAAATGATCTTCTTCATCTCTTTTGATTGATTTTAGTTTGAAGTCTAATTTGTTCGATACTAGGATAGCTACACCAGCTTGTTTCTTGGATCCATTTGATTGGAAAAATCTTATCCCAACCCTTTACTCTGAGGTAATGTCTGTCTTTGAAGTTGAGGTGTGTTTCTTGTATGCAGCAGAAGGATGGATTCTATCTTCGTATTCATTCTGTTAGCCTGTGTCTTTTTATAGGCAAATTAACATCATTAATATTGATGGAAACTAGGGACCATTGAGTGTTAATTCTTGTTTGTTTTTTATTTGTTTTTGTTGGTGTAATTGTTTGTGGATTTACCCCTTTTTCTTTTGTCTTTTGGTAAAGTTGGATTATCTATTGCACATGTTTTTGTGAGCATAGTTACCTTCCTTAGACTGAAGTTTTCCTTCCAGTACTTTCTGTAGGACTGGATTTATGGATATGTATTGTTTAAATCTAGTTTTGTCATGGACTATATTGTTTTCTCCATCTATAGTGATTGACAACTTTGCTGGGCATAGTAGTCTTGTCTGGCATCCGTGGTCTCTTAGTGTTGGTAGAGTATCTATCCAGGACCTTCTGGCTTTCATAGTTTCCATGGAGAAATCAGGTGTGATTCTGATAGGTTTGCCTTTGTATGTTACTTGGCCTTTTTCCTTTGCTTCTCTTAATATTCTTTATTCTGTATGTTCGGGGTTTTTACTATTATGTGGTGAGGGGACTTCCTTTTGTGGTCCACTCTGGTGTTCTGTAGGCTTCTTGCACTTTCATTGGCATGTATTTCTTTAGGTTGGGAAAGTTTTCTTCTATGATTTTCTGCACCTTTGAACTGGGTTTTTTCACCTTCTTCTATACCTGTTATTCTTAGATTTGGTGTTTTCACTGTGTCTCATATTTTCTGGATATTTTGTATTAGGGATTTGTTGGACTTAAGATTTTCTTTGGTCAATGAATGTATTTTCTCCTAGTGAATCTTCCACGCCTGAGATTTTTTCTCCTAACTCCTGTATTCTGTTCGTTATGCTTGCAACTGTAGTTCCAGATCATTTACTCGCCTTTTCTAGTTCCAGCTTTCCTTCAGACTGTGTTTTTTTTTTATTGTCTCTATTTCAGCTTTCAAACCTTGTACTGTTTGAATTGTTTCTTGTAATTTTTGGCTTGTCTTTTCTTCCATTTCTTTAAAAGATTTTCTCATTTCTTCTTTTAGGGTCTCTATCATCTTCATGAAGTTGTTTTTTAGGTCATCCTCGTCTGTTTCATCTGTGTTGTGATGCTCAGATCTTGCTGGTGTAGAGTCCCTAGACTCTGGTGGCGTCATATTGTTTTTTCTGTCGTTGAGTTTGTTCTTGTATTGTTGTCTTCCCATCTCTTCCTTCAGTGGGTACAGGTGGGGTCTCTTCCTTTCCTGGTGAGTAGGGGTCCAAGGTTCTCTTCCGGTGGGTGCAAGCAGGTCCAATTCACTGGCAGGTCTCATGGTGGGTGCAGATGGGCCTCAGACACTCCCTCTCCTGGTGGGTGGGAGCTCTGCCCTCTGCACTCTGCGCTCTGCCTTCTGCCCTGAGTGGGGGCAGGCGTAGGCAGGCTCTCTCAGCAGGCTCCTGGTAGCTTGGTCCTCCAGGAGCGGGGGAGAGTCAAGCTTGCTGCAGTTCCCAGTCCAGGAGATCCCGGAGAGCCACTAAATCTTATATAAATACTTAGTGACGGAAAGGCTGTACATCTCTGAGTGGGAGATAATGGCATTTTTCTTCTTATATCTATACTTTATAACTCTCTTAAACATATATGTTGTTTTAATAATGTTAAAAGACACTTTTTAAAATTAAAAAGACATAGCTCGACTTGCTGGCATATATTGGTAATGTTGGCACCCAAGAGATAGAGGTAGGAAGATTGGCATTCGAGGTCATCCTCCGCAAGTTTGAAGCCAGCCTGGGCTATGTGAGACCCTGTCTCAAAAACCAAAAATAAATATAAATAAGTAAAATTTAAAGAATGTGTCTCAAGTCAAACTCCGCATCTTTCCCCCAACCATCTCTTCCATCTCCCCCATCTTGGTGAATGGCTGCTCCACCATCCCAGTGACTCTGGTTGTAAGTCTTCCCTTTCTCTTACTATCTCTTATTGTGGCTTCCCTTAAACAACGACAACAAAACAAACCTTAGAGTCTGATCTGTTCTCATTACCAAGATAGGCAAAGAGGTGCAAAGGAAATTCACGGAGTAAGCATAAGTGGCCAAGAACATCTGAAACATCCCAAAGAACGATGATGCCTGGTGTCGGCAAGTGTGAGGCTTGGTGCTGCCCAGGGGTGGTGGCAGGGCTGCCTTGAGGTCAGATAGTAAGAGCCCCCTCTGGCCTCTCCCACAGTCCCTTCACTGGACCTGGGAAAAAAGTTGAGTGTGCCTCAGGACCTGATGATAGAGGAGCTGTCTCTCCGCAACAACCCGGGATCCCTCCTCTTCCAGAAGAGGCAGCGCCGGGTGCAGAAGTTTACCTTTGAGCTTTCAGAAGGTTTGCAGGCTGTGAGTAAGCCATCATGCGCTCTTGGGGAAACCCAGGCCAAGAGGGAGCCAGTGGTTAGTCTAAAGACAGTGAGCCAGACTAAAGACCTTTGTGCATGGGGCGTGGGGAGAGTGGGGTGTCCTGCGTGCCCTCATCAGATTATGCTCTGGGCTGTCTGCATGTCAGACGCAGTTCACATCTCCCGTGGTCTTAGGTAGGAAGTGTAGAAGTAGAATGCCATAGAATTGGCTGACAGAGACAAAATTAAGTATGGGGGCATGGTGTCGCCCAGTTGGTTGAATGCTTGCCTAGCGTGCAAGAAGCACTGGGCTCCGTGCCCAGTAACACACAACGCCAGTGTGGTGCTACACACTTGTAATCCTAGCATCTGGGAGGTGGAAGCAGGGGGATCAGGGTTTCAAGGTTGTCCTTGGCTACAGAGCAAGTTCAAACCCAGCTTGGGCTACATAAATAATCCTGCCTCAAAATACAACAAAACAATGGTTTGCTGGTGGCAGGTCATTTTGGAAAACACTAACAAAGACCAGGGCATCTCTCCCCTTACCGTTCAATTTCTGGACCTTACTGGAGTGGGGGGAGAAGCGGGAGGAGAGATGGCAAAAGGGCCACCTTTGCCAGGTGCTTGCTAAGGGCTCGACATGTATGAGGTGGATATGTCACCATTAGCATACCAACAGAACACCACCACCACCCCACTCGTCCACCACCACCAACCTGCCCCCACCACCACCATCGCCCTCAGAAGGGAACCGAGGCTCAAGAAGTGTCTTACTCTGACCAGATTTACAGTAGCAATGAGTGCTAGTGATATTTCTCCATCACATCACGGGCACTGGTTCATCCCTGCAAGCCATCTAGTAGATTCCCAGGCTGCCCGGTTCCCTACATTCTCCCTCCACATCCCTTAGGTGGTGGTGGTGGTGAAATCCTGGCCTCTTGCTTCTCTGTGCATCCCTGCCCGTTTATTTCCCCCCACAGCTCCTGGCTGGAAGTGTCCGAGGGAAAGTGACTGGCAGAGCAGCACCAGAGACGGTGAGGACGAGAGACCCCTTCCCCCAGCGATAGCTTCCGGCCTGCTAAGGCTGGCCATTGTCTGTGAGTGCTCGCCCCTGTGCTCAGGTTCCCAATGGCCCGGAGGAACAACAGAACCATCGCTCCGAGCTTCACGTGTTCCAGGGGTCGCCGGGGGATCCCAGGATTGCCCACCAGGAAGTGGTTGGGGCTGAGTCGCTCCGTAGTCCAAGCGCCCTGGCACCAGGTGAGCTGCCGCCCTGTGTCCTGGGGCACAGATGGGTCAAAGAGTCACACAGAGAATCCGTGTCTCAGCGTAGGCTGGGACCCCCTGCTGCAGACGTCCTGGGATGGGGAGTCTGCTTTGAGCTCATGTACCCCTCCCCTACTTCCGCTGACTCCTCCCGGACACCCTGACCATTCTCGCCCGCCCGCGGGGTAGGAGTGGGAGTGATGGCAGAGCCCAGGCAGTGCCTGTCACCAGTGCCACTCCACCCCCAGGCTATGCAGAGCCATTGAAGGGCATCCCGCCAGAGAAGTTCAACCACACCGCCGTCCCCAAAGGCTACCGTTGCCCGTGGCAGGAGTTCATCAGCTACCGAGACTTCCCGAGTAGCAGCGGAAGTCGCACCCCCATTCTCCGCGACTATCGCAACTTCAACAAGTAAAGTCAGGTTGCATGGGTCGCACAGCGTGGGGAGGCCTGCGTGGGATGCACAGGGTGGGGAGGCCTGCGTATTTTCTGCTTACTAGCTAGCTGTAGCCCCAGCACTTCGTAAATGCTTACTGAGGTCTTGCTAGAGCAGTGCCTAGCACCTTTTCGGTGTTCATTGTGTGTGTGTGGGGGGGGGTGTTGAACATGCCCCACCTCCATCACATGCTGTTGCAAGTACCAGATTCCTCTCATTCTACAATGGAAGAGACCACGCTCAGGCATATGAGCACCCTGCTCAGTCACAGACCCCGGAGGAAGGGGCAGCACTGGACATCAAGTCCCAGAAATCTGTGTTGCCTTGCTCTCCATTGAGTTCTGGAATGGACATCTGAGCTCTGTCCTTCTCTGGGAACACCTCCAGATCTCACCGGTCCGGGTTCACTCTGTTTTTTCTTTCACCAGTACTATGGAAAAGGCCTGGAACGTGTCTCTGAGGCTGTGGGAAGTGGAAAAATAGCACCAGAGTTGGGGCTGCTGAGGCAGTGGGTGACCTATACTGGTTTAGTGCATGGCCTCAGTGCAGGCTTCAATGCAGATACCAGACCTGGCTGTGTGGCCTTGGACAAGTAACTTAACATCTCTGCACGTCTGCTGTTCTGCCTGTAAAATACAGCATTCCCAAGGACATAAGGCTGCTATGGAGACGATGTGAGAAGTCCTAGAAGTTTCTGTCGGACAATAAGCTGGCTGCTTCTAGGGCTGCTACGGTGATTGCTGCTTGTAGATAGAAATGATGGGGAACGTGGATGGGCAAATGGGGCAGAAACGGGGGTAACTCTGCTCTGGGAGCCTGGAAGCAGAGCCCGAGTCCCAGATGGAGACGAATTTGCAGAGGAGCACCAGCTTGGGGGGATGGGGGTTTCCACTGTAGTTGTGTGTGTGTGTGTGTGTTTTTTTTTGTTTTTTTTGTCTTGAAGATGTTTCTGAACATGTTCCTCTCTGGTTTGGACTACAGTAAGTGAGAACAAGGAGGGTTCAGAGAGGAGACTGCCAGCCAGCCCTCTCAGTACCTGCTGAGCCCACACACGAAGATTGTCTGAGAGACAGGCACTATGTGGGGAGGGTCTGGCCAGGCTGACTGGGCAAGGAGGACTCTGGGAGGAAGGACTGGGCAGAAGAGTCTGTGAGAGCCTAAGTTCTCCACCAGGCAGAATTGCTGTCCCCACCTGCTGCCTGACACCAACTCCACAGCAGGCTCAGTCTTGGCAGCTGGCTTCCTGACTGGCTGACTTGGAGGCATGCCTCACTCCTGTGTCTCAGAATGGCAGCCGAGGTACACTGCTAGCAGCAGGAGGGTCCTAGGGAGGCCCCTTCTGGGACAGAAGGAGCAACTGAGGTGGCAGAGGAGGAATAGCTCCCTTGTGGACAAGCAGGACTCTGGACTCCCAGTCATGGCTTGAGGCCTGCTGGGCTCAGACACTGGCCAGACTGCCCCAAAAGGGTTTGGCTGTTACTGGAACTGGGGTAGCCCAGCAGTAGCACTGCCCTGGCAGGGTCCCAGATCCTGGCCAAGGTTTGCAATTCCACCCAGAGGCAAACCCCTTTTCCAGTAGTTCCTGCTGCAGGGGAACTACAGGAATACTGCTTTCTACAGGAATACCCTTTGTGAGACAGGGTTTCTCTGTGTAGCCCTGGATGTGCTGGAACTCTGCTCTCCCGAATGTGAATGCTGGGATTAAAGGTGTGATCCACCACTGCCTGGCACGCATTTCTCTCTCTCTCTCTGTCTCTCTGTCTCTGTCTCTCTCTCTCTCTGTCTCTGTCTCTCCTTAGATTTATTTATTATGTATACAACACTCTGCCTGCATGTATGCTTGCACACCAGAAGAGAGCACCAGATCTCATCACAGATGGTTATGGGAATTGAACTCAGGACCTTTGGAAGAGTAGCCAGTGCTCTTAACCTCTGAGCCATCTCTCCAGCCCCTCCTGCATGCATTTCTTAAAGAGGGCTGTGGATGCAACCAAGGAATCAAGCACTTGCCTAGCATGCATGAGGCCCCATGTTCAATGCCCAGCGCTGCTCTTTTCCAGAAAAAGGCTTAAAAATCACACATAGCCTTAGTCAACTGTGAATGAAAGAAAGAAATATAAAGGGGGAAGGAAAGAACACGACTGCTCCTACGTATAGTGGGGGAAGTTTATTGTAGATACGAGGGAGAGCATAGCCAGAGGCCTGACATCTGGGAGAATCTAGAGCGGACTTGATCCTGGAGCAAAGACAGGACCTCTTTGTTGGTCACTCAGATCCTGGTTTCCTTTGCAGTGGTAACACGGTTCTCAGGATGCCCTATGGCCCCAGAACTTTTTTTTGTACTGGCCACTGCTTAGCAGAGGATACGCATTGCTGTGTGTATGAATACTTTGTTTCATTTTGTAGCTTGTCTTTCTGCGCTCAGCTTGGTGCACTTGAAACCCACCGCTCTCACATAGACGATTCTCTCTCCCTTGAGTTTCTGTGTGTCTCTGGCTTGTCCACCCCTTCACCAGAGGGTGTAGGGCTACTTCCTGCTTGTTAATACCCTGCTGTCTGCTTCTTCACACGAGCAAGCAGGAGCCTCCCCCAGCCGTATGCTTAGAAACACAGTTGCTGGGTGACGGTTTATACATTTTCAGGTTAAAAACGATTCTGCTAATTTGTCCTCTGAGGTAAAGGCACGGAGTTACCCACAAACCAAATCAGCAGATGATGAGTGGAGCGTTGTCCCCGCCTCCTCATTAACTGTCTTACTGTTGGTGGTCTTATGTGGGGGAGGATTGGGCTCTGCTTGTCGCTTGCATTTTGCTCCTGGACGTCCTCTGTCCCCTGGGTTGTGGGTATTTTGTTGTAAGGGCAAGTGAGAAAGAGAAATCCACCTTCCAGTGTTGCTCTCTTCTGACCCTGACTGGAGGGCGCCTAGAACTTAGCATAGGCCACTTCTAACTACAGGGAATGGGTTTAGACAAAGCGGGACTAAGGATCACTAATGATAGTATAGATCTTTGCTGCCTGGAAGGGGAAACAGGCCTCACATGTGCATGCATGTTACCCCTCCTTCACACAGGCCATCTCTCCTGTTTCTTTTCCAGGACCCCAGTGCCATTTGGAGGACCCCATGTCGGGGAGACCATTTTCCAAGCAGGCACCCCTTTTGTCCCGGAGCCCTTCAGTGGCTTGGAACTTCTCCGTCTCAGACCCAGTTTCAACAGAGTTGCTCAGGGCTGGGTGCGGAAGCTCCCTGAGTCTGAGGAGCTGTAGGAGCTGTAGCCTCAACCTGAAGCTACAGTTCCTGGGCTTAGAGCTCAAGAAACACCATGTTTGTCTCTACTCTGCTTATTTGCTTTTTCTTTTTCTTAGTTTCCCCCCCCCCCTCCTCTCTCTGAGACAGGATCTTGCCCTATAGCCTGATTGGCTTGGAACTTAATATGTAGCCCAGGCTGGTTACAAAGTGAGCTGGTTACAAGCACCAGGGTTACAAAGTGAGCATGCCAGGCTGACTTCATTACTGAACGTTACTAAATATAGCAGTTCAAAGATCACTGGGTTGTTAGTCCTCAGAGCAGATATGCATCAAACGTTGGCACTAATGTGAATTTGGAACTTGTTCTAGAACTCACAGCCTCAGATCCACCTGTGATAGGAGGTGTTAGTATCAAGTACTCCAGGTGGCTTGTGTAAGTTGCCTATGGTGTGTGCATCTCTAGGAAGCTATACCCATGCTTGGTTCTGCCTGGCCCCAGCAGCTGTCACTCACTTGATAGTAGTCCATATACGTGGATTGTTCTGATCATTAGGGAAGGAGTAACTTGGGAATGCAGCTGTTTGTAGAATGTTTGTCTAATGTGGCCTACAGGCACAAAGCCCTGGGTTTGATTCCTAGCACCATGTAAACCAGTAATAGTGGATATGCCTAAAATCCAGCACTTGGGAGACAGGGGCAGAAGGACTGAAAATCTGAAGTCATCCTTGACTAACAATGAACTTAAGGCCAGCCTGGGGTACATAAGACTCTATAAGAAAAAAGGTTGTAACTCAGGCGATGAACTGTAGCTGAGGACAACCTTGAACTCCTGATACTTCTGCCTCCCTCTCCCAAGTGCTGATTAACAGATGTGCACCCCATGACTTCTCACTTGCTGAGACACAGCTGGCTCTCCTCTGCACATGTTCTCAGTATTTCTGAAACATCTGCTCCATGCTAGATAGTGCCAGCCAAGGTCTCAGGGGAAATGGTAGGGAGGAGATTTGTAAGGCAGTTGAATTCTGACAGCCAGGAGAGCAAAGTAACACGAACAGGAGAACCCTGGATGGGTGGGTGGCACTTCAGGATCCTGTGTGGGTGAGTGGGATTTCAGAAACTTTCCAGAAGATTTGAATCAGACCTTAGAGAAGGAATGGGAGCCCATCAAGGAAAGGAGTGAGGAGGGCGTTTCTGGCACGTGTTGAGGTGGGAACTGCAGAGTACGGTGTTTTGGAGAGGGGAGAGGCTGTGGAGTGAGACAGTGGCTCTACTGGGTAGAGCAGGAAGAGGTTAACACTGGCCTCACTGGTTTCTATGTGGGGCTCAGGAGAATAGCTGGAGAGCAGGAAAGGCCTGGAACAGGAAGGGAGAAAAAAAGGGGGCCAGCTTGTGACACCCTTTACAGATCAGGTACAAACTACAACACTCACACCTTCCCATGCTCCATTCTGACAAGATTCTAGTCCAAGTGATGAGGATGACACTGCTGACAGTGATGTGTGAGTCTTAAGTCTCTTCTGTAGATGTGGCTATCCATCTCTAAAAGCAAACGAGCTGTCTGGACTGGAGTCAGGGTGGAAGAACCAGAGTCTATTAAGGACTTCTGCCCGAGAACCATTTCACTGGCTGAGCCGATGCCTACTCATTCTGGAATTGTGGAGCAGTGTTACCTGTATCTTGTGGGGACCAGAGGCACCCCACTAGATAGGACTTGGACCCTGAGTGGTATGAACTTGGGGAAGCCATTTTCCACTGAGCCTCTGCTTCTCTATTTGTAAGGTAAAGACAAGCATAGGTCTTCTGCAGGGCTTGGGAGCATAGTACAGGACAGTCCCAGATACTCCACCGCTCCTGTTAGATATGCAGTTGATGCCGTTTACAAAGCAGGCTGTGAGGATGCAGGATTCCAGGTCAGTGATGAGGAATGCTAGCCAGGCTGGATGACCCAATGGCTGTATTTTTCTTTTGCTCTGTGGAGTTTTGCTTCCCTTCCTGGTTCCAGGGAACCAGTAGCCTGAATCTTGGGATTCCTTGCAGTTGATGTTTCCCTTGGGTTTGGGACTGTCATTGAAAGCCAAGTTTCCATAATCTATAGACCAACACCATCAGAAAAGTGGGATTTTGCTTGTTTGTGAAGCTTGCAGGAAGGAAATGTACTCAGTGCAGAAGAGACCCTGGGAGGGTGGGGTTCTGTACCCTAAAGTAGGTCCTCATTCCTTCTTCTCATGTGACTTTTGCTACTTAATAAAAAACACTGGTCTTTAATGGAACCATACTATGTGTGCTGTTAGTTATTCAACAAGGATATTTTGGATTCTGAAAATGCAAATAAACATTTCATGCAATTTGGGAACCTAGTCCTTCATACAACTCTCTAATTTTGTCTCCTTTTTTTACATAAAGTACCAAGACTAGTCAACAAAACATTGAGAAACCTGATGGAGTTGGCAGCAATGACCATGAACCAGTTAGATGTAGCACATGGGTACCTCTCAGAAGCAGGGTGGTGAGCAAAGCCAGCCAAACACACACCTGTATGGTTACTACACCCAGAAACAACATAAAATAGTGCTGTTTGTGGGTGAGTGACTAGGTCACAAATATCTCTGGGATGACTGGAGGTTCTCTATTTCTAGACCTGGCTGACTGCTACACAGATGCCTGTTACACAGTTGGAAGTTGGTTGTTATCTGTGTTTTATGAACTTTCCACTAAAAAGATCCCTTCTTTAACTGAAGTTACTTTCAGTCCCCAGAGCCACCAAAAATTTTGAAAAGGCTGAATGTACACTACAGATAAATCCATTACATTACACATGAAAAACTAATAACAAGCTCCCATGTGTATCCCAGAGGCAAAAAGATGGAAAGTACGAGAAAAGGTCGAATTAGCAACGCTTTCTAGCAGTGATGTGAACAAGCCATGCAATGGATCACCTGCAGTGTGGCTGCAGACACTTCTGGGTGTGCCTGTGTGGGTTTCCAGAGAAGCCTTGGGAGCAGGTCAGTGAGCCAAGAAGACCTGTCTGTAATGTGGGAACACTGCCCAACTAGCTGGGGACCTGGGTGACTGGAAAAAGGGGAAACCACCTAATCCCTGATTTCAAGTTACACACGTTAAGTTCTAAAGTACAGATTTTAACTAAAAAATGGCATCAAACACACTTTGGTTTGCTGTTTCTTTTACAATGGCTTGTATAAGAACAACACTTAAAATTACCATTTATTAAAAGTCACAGACAAGACTCTATAAATTTTTTTTTAAAGACAGGGTCTCAGTATGTCTTGGAATTCACTATGTAGGCCTGGCTGGCCTCAAATTCATAAGAGATCTGCTTGCTTCTGCCTCTTGAGTGCTGAGATTAAAGGTGTGCACCACTATACTCAGCTTTCTGTCTGTTCTTATTTCAACCCTACTACCAACTTTTTAGTATTAAAAAGACTGGGTATTGGCCGGGCGGTGGTGGTAGCTGTGTTCATGGCAGCTTGTTTTGGGCCCAATGATCCTCCGACACATGTGGGGAAGCATAGCGGTGTTCTCTGACTGCCCACATCTGAACACATTCAGCTACCATGGAAACTACAAAGCAAGGAAAAGTATAAATATCCCAGGATTCATTTACTGGGATTTTAGAGTGCCCTTTCTTCTTCAGAGCCCGAGTGGTGATGTTGTGCTAGGGGCTGCTGTGTTTTCCAGCATGAGCTCCCATCCTTTGAGGGTCCTGAGAAGGGTAATGGATTGGTCCTGGAGCTCTCATGAAAGGAGGGGGCGGTCCCATTGGGTGGAACATATGTGGTCCAAAACCTGATGTGGAAGAGAAAAAATTAGGCTTTCAGTTCCCTTGACAACCTTCCAAACCTCTGAATCTTTCTAAGATCAAACCCACCTACACATGAATCAAGGCTGACATAGTGTTAAGTGCTTAGGAATATCTATCTATATTCCTTGTTTTCTCCCTCAGCCCAAAAAACTTCAGGCTCACGCACCTGTTATTATGTCACCCAACTGTCTGCTACTAATCAAACATAGCAAATTCTACCAGACAGGAGTCAATCAGGATGTGGGAAACCAGAAAAAAATCATGCCCATGTCAAGGTCCTTTCTGTCATTAGCCTCACTGCTGGATTCCAGAATGGAAATGACTTTCTTCAAACATACGGGCTCTCCATCAAAAGAACACTAGCCACCCACTATTTCCCACATTGTCCACACTGCATGGACATTCACATGGGGGGCCACCTCTTGAACTGTTTATTAGTGGCCACTGACATGAAAAAGAATATGAGCCCAAGTGCAACTGGATTCCATGAGCAACTCCATGTCATTCATATGTGTCTTTGTAGCAAGTTTTTCTGCGGAAAGCAGTGGTTTACTGATTCTCATCCTGATATAAGGCCTACACCCTGCTGTGGACAGATAACAGTTAGGACAAATTTACAACGGGAAACAGACTGGTGGCAGATGCCTGCAGTAACTCCTATCCTATGATACCTATGCTCAGACTTACAGAGTGGGGCCTTTCCTCTCCACCTACCATCTTTGTCCAGAGACGTCTACAAAGGACCTAGCTGCCTCAGCCTCAACTCAGGTGCAGGACTTTTACAAGGCCTTCTCCAGGCCAGGAAGGAAGAAGGCAATTACCTGGGGGTGGAGGCGGGGCGATCCCAGGGGGTGGGGGCAGGGCAATGTTCACCACTGCTGGAGGGCCACTTGGGGGCAGGTTGAAGTAGTTGGCAGATGCCTCCTCTTCTGCTGCAGGGGGAGGAGGTAGAGCTGGAGAGGAAATAGCAGACACTTAGAAGGGAAGACAATCAATAGCATGTTTCCATCATTTATATCCTGGGTTTGTTGAACAGCTGACAAAGTCTGGCCTCTTCTAACAGAGAAACCCGAGCTGACTGTGTTTCCATCAGCAAGAAGTTCGCGCTTACCTCCAGGGAGCCCTGGTACAGGCTCTAGCTTGATCCCAGAGTCCGTGGTTCCGTCCTTCTCCTTTTCCTTGCCTCTGGCTGCTTGGGATCTGGAGACATACATGCACAGGACATGAGCACCCTGTCCAGCCTTCCTTGACACCACTGCGCTAACTCATTCCCAGTAAACGGAGTGCCACCACTCCTGCCCCTTTTAGCAAACGCTCTCTTCCCACAGATGGTAAAGTGTAGAGTGGTTAAAAGCAAGGTTTTTTGAAGGTGGAAAGATCTGGGTTCAAAACTGTCACTGGTCAGACATGGTGGCCCATGCCTTTAATCCCAGCACCTGGGAAATAGAAGGCAGATCTCTACAAGTTCTAGGACAGTCTGGTCTAGTGAGTTCCAGAAATGCCAGGGCTACATAGAGAAACACTGTTTCAAAAAACCCAAACCAAAACCATGTCATTGCTGGAGAAGACAACACTCCTGTGTGCAGCAAGAGCCCAGCATACAAAAAACAGGCCACCCAGGGACCTGCTGCCAGGGTGCTCCTCTCTGCTCCCAAGACGCTATTATCTCTCTTATGCAGTCAATTTCACTCTTACAACATCTATTCTGCTTATCCCTTTCCTCACTTCTCCAGCACACAGGCTCTGAGGGGGAGAATCTAGGTCTAATTCAACTAAAACCCTCAACATCCTCCTTTGGCAACCTGGCATTATGCTTGGCTCATACTGGCTGGTAAAACATGAACTCCAAAGGAGTAGGTTATCAGAGCAAGACCTTAAATACATTTCTAAAGTAAGATGCTTCCAACAGCCACAGAAATCAAATACTAAGGGGGCTGTCAGGATGGCTCAGCTGTAAGAACTCTGGGTGTTCTTTCAGGACACTAGTTAAATTCCCAGCACCCACATGGTGACTCACTCCAGTCCCAGGGTATCCAACACCCTCTTCTGACACCAAGCACACAAGTGCAAAACATCCGTACACATTAACTAAAACACTAGAGAAGGCTCTTCTAAAGATTTCTAAAGGCCCTGTCAAACCTGTTTACCCAAGGCTTTCAGCATGCAGCTGAACAGTTTAGAACAGTCTTGTTCATACCTTCCCCATTTTACGTTGAGTCTGCGGCCATTCACGATGAGCTTGTTGAAGGACTTCTCAGCAGCCACCTCAGCAGCCTGCCTGGTGGCGAACTGGATGAAGGCACACTGCTGCCTCTGCACAACCGTGATTGTGCGGATCTCCCCGAACTGGTAGAAGTGATTTCTGAAGGAACACAGGCCAAGGAAAACAGGTTAGCAACCCAGATGCTGCCTTGCAAAACAGAAATGGCCTATGAACTTAGAATGTTCTGAGTCACCACTAGACAGGTGGCCCCATGGACATATGCCTGTCTTTAGGTTTTCCTTGTACCTGGCCCTAATGTAGGAGCTACTTACTGGAGATAAAGGAAAATTAAAAAGAGCTCTCACGTACCTCTGGATTTTTCTTGTGGAGAAGGGAGGGACTTTATTTGGTTACTTAGGAGCCATACTTTCAGCCCGGGGTTGGTGATGTATGCCTTTAATCCCAGCACTTGGGAGGCAGAGGTAGGCGGATCTCTGTGAGTTCGAGGCCAGCCTAGTCTACAGAGTGAGTTCAGGACAGCCTCCAAAACAATACAGAGAAACCCTGTCTCGAAAAACCAAAAAAAAAAAAAAAAAAAAAAAAAAAAGCCATACTGTCTTACCCCTAGTATAAGGCACTGGCAAGCTACAGTTCTTATGATCCATGAGCTAAGACTATTTTCACTTAAAATCGAGCCTTGTTATGTTACCCAAGGTAATTTTGGACTCAAGTGATCTTCCTGCCTCTGCCGGGACTGCAAGCAAATGCTACCAAGCCCAGCCATGAGCCAAGAATGCTTCAGAAAATGTTTAAGGGTTGAGGACTGTGTGGCTCAATGGCAGAGAACACTTGTCTAGTATGTGTGAGGCCCTCAGTTCAATTCCGAGCACTGGAAAAATAAATGATTACAAACAATGAATGAAATAAAAAATGCTTAAAACTGAAAGGAAGAAAGTGCAAGACAGAGGAGAAAGCCAGGTGTGGGAGCCCATGCACAGATCCTAGTACCAGAGAGAGGGGAAAATCTTGAGTTTCATACCAGTCTAAGCTACAAGACAAGACCTGGTCCAACAACCATAAATAAGTAGATATATAGATAGATGGATTAATGAATCAAACAAAACAAACCAGACCTGATGGCCAATATCTACCATGGCAGTACTCAGGAGGTGGAGGCAAGAGGGTCAGGAGTTTAAGGTCATTTAAGCTCTCCATGCTAGCCTGAACTGTAGGAAACTATACCAAAA